ATTAATAGAAGAGCCATACATTTGCAGAATGACAGTTTAATTGATTACTCTGAAGTCATTTATCTAAAATCGTATATGCTAGACAAGCTTAAACATTACAATTTTTTTGCGCAGATTCGTATGTCATGTAGAAACGAACAATGAGACGGATGGAAGTCAAATTTTAAAATCAAGGCTTTATACGGTCCGACATCTCAATTTTCAAACTGGCGTGAATACTTCATACAAATATATTGTTGCTCCGAGCGACTTGGCAATGGTACGTTGTGCATTGAACATATGTTAACGGACTGTTACTGAGTTACGGATACTCGATACCTAATATTGAATAACGGATAAACAGCTTAGATAGTAAGGTGAACATGCGGTTGTTGGCCAACGTATGAAGAGACAATAAAGCGCAATGTATGCATTGCTTAATGTTTAAAACTATTTATGGCACTCATTGTCCCATTTAATAAAGATTCAGAAAAACGTTATCTATTATTATCTTGATATTATTTTAAGAAAGATATTGAATGTTACATAAAATCTTGTAAAAAAGTTCATTGTATAATTTCATTTTTATTTAAGTATTATACTTCTGTTTCGCATTTTTAATAATATTTATACGATGCTGATAAATATTGTATTTTAATTACAGAGTATTCAGCAAGAAGATATGAAGGAACATCGACAATTAAAAAATAATGAATTTTTTAAAACTAGCATCCGACAAGTTTCAAAAACACACTATTTTTTTCCAACGGATCAGTTGTTCTCATTCTCATGTATGTCTTTGTCGGGACACGTCCAAGATATTGATAACTTTACTACCGAAACATTTAGAATGTCCAGAAATTATACATCATGCGTGTTTGATAATTTAATGAAATCAAAGGTAGAAGAAAAATGATATACTTCGTAACGTAATAAATATTCATGTATCCGAAAATATCAAAACATTGGCAATTCATTTTGTTATCATTTTTATATTTTCTATACCGTAATTAAATTTTTAAAAAGAATTAATAATTACAGTTTCTAAAAAAAAGAAAAAAGATCAAGTAAAGTTATATTTTTTTTTTAAGGATAACATCAACCGAACGATAAATTATCATTTGTACAAATCGAAAATTAAAAGTTTGAAACCAGATGAAGATGATTTACAAGAAGAACAGCAAAGATATTTGTCGGAAAAAATATCCTGGGCAGGGGAAGATTTTCGAAAACCCATTTGCGATGATCTAGAGTCTAATATAAATAATCAAATCACGATACAAGTACGGCTCTATGATCACGAAGCGAATCTAGAAGCAACCAACCGAGTCTTGAATATAAATGAGTGCAAGAAGAAATGCATAGTTACTTTACCTCGCAACGCGGTGTGTTCTAACATGAATATGGAAGTCGAATATAATGTAAAGCTAACGTTTTGGCTTTATCTCGTCATTCGAGTATTTATAGGTACATATTTAAATGTTTCAATTATCTTTCAAGATAAACATTTACTTAGACACGTTTTTTTTAAACTCTCTATGCTGTTTGGGTAATCATTACATTTTTCAAAATACAATTTTTTTTAACTAAAAAAGAAAATATCATTCTTCATAGTGTTTAATGCTGAATACAATTCCAGCCGCCAAAATGTTTCATCGTATCAAAAGGAAATTAAATAAATTAATAAAAAAATTGTAAAAAAAGTCTCAACTATAGTATTATATTAAGCATAAAAATTACAAAGAATAATTTTTTTCTTGAAATCCTTTTTTCTTAATTGTATAATTTTCTCATAGCTATCAGCTTCGTTATTAATTTTATGTCAGTATATGTATTAAAAAATTAAAATATAAATTCTATATTTCAGGTATTATTGGAGGTACAACTTTTGCCATGTTTGAAGGTGCTGTTATAGCGATATTGCGAGAGCAAGAGGCAGATTATGGTCTTCAACGAATTTATGGCAGTATAGGAGGCATGATTTCGTCACCCTTATCAGGTGTTCTCATAGATTACGCTAGCAAGGGTAAAGGATATACAGATTTTAGGTGAGTAATTTAGTCATAATTTATAGAATGTCCTATAATTGATGAAAGGAAATTGTTTTACGTGCCAATAAGTAAAAAAGATAAAATTTTTCCATATAAAATCTTCCCCAGTGAGAAATGATAATAGAATCAACATCAAATCTACATCGAATAAACGTCGATTCGACATCGATTTCACTGTCATTTCTCACAACTGAGTTTAGCATTCCACATATTTATGATATTAAGATTTATGATATTCAAACTTTATGAAATCGCTAATAAAGATCTTATTAATTTTCAGGCCAGCATTTTACCTCTACGCGGCATTGAAACTTGCATCGGGTGTTCTCATGCTGCTGATCAACTTAGAATTCAAAGCACCTGCGAAGAACGTTGTGCGCGATGTCTTTACTGTTCTGAGAAACATCGAAACTGCCATACTTTTCCTAGCTTGCTTTGTTCTCGGTAAATTACAAACTTTAATAACGTCTGTTCCTTGTTGAAAATATTTTCCGATGTTTTCAACAAATTATCTGGAGGAAAGACAGCACTTAAAAGAAAGAAAGATTTCGACAGGCACCGCCTGGGGATATATCGAGTCGTTTCTCTTCTGGCTAATTCAAGACCTAGGAGGATCTAGATCGCTTATGGGTATCACAGTAGCAGTAGGCGGTATCGCTGGCATACCATTGTTGGCACTCTCGGGACCAATAATATCAAAGATTGGTCACGCGAACGTGCTTTTCATAGGTTTCGTGTTTTACGCCATCAGGCTTTGCGGTGAGTATACGTTAACGGTGCGAAATAATTGACAGCGAACAAACGTAGACACGCGCGTTTAAAGATATAATGAAGTGCTTCCTGCAGGCTATTCTTTGATTTACGATCCTTGGCTTACTTTAATCTTCGAGGCATTAGAGTCGGTTACAACATCTCTCAGCTTTACCGCAGCCGTCACTTATGCGGCAAAATTATCAACTACATCTACCGACAGTTCGATACAAGGACTTCTTGGTGGTGTTTATTATGGAGTTGGTATGCTCATAGATTTATTCAATTGCTTCTTGGCAATAATAAATAAATTTTGTATTAAATATGCATTTAAAGTATCGATTTTTTTTTGTATTGATACATTTGATGTATTGATGCAACGTATTGATTATATTTTTATATAGGCAAAGGTTCTGGAAGCTTAATTGGTGGTTATCTAATGAAATTCTTTGGTACCAGACCGACCTATCAGATTTTTGCTGTAGTAACTTTATTGACTGGCATAATATATTTTATATTTAATGTAACTTATCTGAAGAAGCGATCACAACTTGAAGGTAATGATATTGTAAAAAAGAAACCAAAAAATATTGATGAACAAGACAATCCTGAAAAACATACGAATGATATTAGTCTCGACGAAAAATCGGAAAGTAATCAAATTAATAACAAGAGCAACATGGGAAATGATAATAAAGGATTTTTAAAAGAAGAATCACACAATAATAAAAAAACAAATGAATTGAATTCAACTGAGATTGAAGCTATCAGAAACGCTAAAAATATTGACGAATTGAATGAAATTCAATTAGAAAACATAAGAAATTAGCAACAAAGAATAATGCAATTCAAACATAGGTTGAAGAAAGTGATACGCAAGGAAGCTATTTTATTAATCCGAATTTTGAGACTGATTTAGATCAGAGTAAAATCATAGAAAGGGGAGAGCGCATTCCAAAACGACAGCATATCGATTGAGTTTACAGAAGGATTCCTGAGATTCTTAGTTTAACAGTAGTTAAGGAAAGGTTTAATAACAGTATAAGCAATTTTATTAAGTTTTGAAAGTGAGAAATAAATTTAAATTAAAAAATTTAAATTGTGTAAAAAAAAATATAAAAAATTGTCATCATGTATAATATTTAAGATTTCATCAAATAGAAGAAAATTCGCAAATATATAAAAACAATATTTAGATCTCGCATTAGCAATAATTTTAACAATATGTAAATATCACAACATAATCTGTAAAATATAATCTCATTATATATAGTCTCAATATATTATAATCAAACAATCTCCCTCTATTAATATTTTTCCTTCTCTGCTCTCATTTCAATAATGCGTGTACGAAATGAAATTTCTGCGATATTAATTGTGAAGTTATGGATATATATAAATATAAATAATATTTTTTGTTCTTTTACTGACTCTAGTGATCACTCATACCTTGTATTTCATACTTTATAGGAAATATGAAATCGAAAGAAAAGATATTAATGAATATACTTATTTAAAAAATAGAATTATATCAAAAATATGAAAGTCCTCTATACATTAAACCATGTGTATGCAATAAGTCATTAATAAAAAAATATTCTATGTCGTATTCACGTAATACTGTAATATATTTTTCTGCTTAATATTATATTATATTTTCGCATTATAAACATTAACTATAAATTTACAATATTTAAAAAAATGAAGTAAAACAAATTTATACATGTACTAGGTTTTTTTTCAAGATTCATATTATTAATAAAAAAATTTCATATTATTAATAAAAATATATCAATGCCGGAATCTTTCTCTCAATAACGGGAGACAATCTGTTTATTCGCAACACAACTCATAACGGATTATTACGGTTAGCAAAGTAAATTAGAACTATTTTGTCAAGCGTCATTTCTTCTCGTTAGCGCAGCTGCATCGGCTGAATATGTTTTGTCTACGAGAGTCTCGAAATTGTAGTAAAACAGCGCTGTAATAACGTAAACATTAACTGTTAGTTAGTCTCGCGTCTTCCTGTCTGCAAAACGGACAATATGTAAATAATGACAAACGCATAGCTATGACGTGAAACAGTCAAAATGTTCCTCATAACAATGCTGAACGCATGTGGACAATATATTCACGGTCGGTTAAGTGGTAGTTACAGTTACAAGTCTATATAGAGGACATTCGCTCCAGAATCATGGCCATTCATCTTTAAATATCAGCATGTTACGTATTTTAATTTTGGTTCTCTTCCTACGCCTGTCTTACGCCACGCTGTCATCGGAAGTAACGTCATACGCGAGAGTATCGAGAAACGGACAGCCAGGAAGTAGCTTTCACGAGTCTCTGTCGTGGATCACCAGGTGCGTAACGTCGAAATTAATTTTATATCGATAGTAACTGTATCGGTAGTAGAATACAATGTCTCTGAGATATTCTAAGAATTGAATGTGAGAGGCAACATCTGTGCATCTTAGGCCCGTAACGAGAAACAATACGAGCGTGGAGAACGAAAACAGAAGTATAAATGGCGTTGTTGTCACAGCATCGCCCGTGTACGTAGCGTCCAGGACTTCGAAATTGAAAAAAGGTGAAGCGATGGATTATCCAATCGGTCCAAGGTAAATTCAGATATTGACAGCAGCGAACGTGTCGATCATTTATGATGAACTAATCACTAATGACCTATTGTGTCTATGTGTAGATATTCGACGTTGGATCATGAAATGATAGCCAAGCTGGACGAGGGCAAGCGAATTCAACAGCGATTTAATGCACCTGCGAGTGGACTTTTCAAAAAAGACTCTTTCGTTTCATCAAACGGAAGACCGCAGAAAGGAGCGAGTGTGTCATATGCGGAAATTTCTCCGAGCATAAACTCATCCGCTTTTCCCGGCCCGATCTTCCCTGGCATATACGAATACAGTCCGAACCCAGTCCCCGACGACGAATCACCGATGTCTAAACCAATAATCAGTAAATATCCACCCGCATCTATGGATGATAATGTACGTACATAAATATTTTATCACTCTATATATTAGCGGATAAATGAATAAATTATTCTTCTCATTCATCTCGTCTTTTGAACACGTTCAGAAAATCTCTCATTCAAATCTCATCGCATTACAGATTCCGGATCTCTACAAACCGTCGCCAAACAAATATCAGACCAGTAGCGAACACGAAGTGGATTACTCTGATTTTACAATAACTTCTTCGTATGAAAATGACGGATCTGGGTCGAAACCTATGAAATTTGCGAATCATCACGATCATTCATCTTCATTCATAGAAGATTCGTACGAGCACGATCATCACAATTTTCATCATGACGTGATTTACGATCACGTACCTGTGTACCACGAGCATCATCCCAAGACCACAACGGAAGAGCCAGAAATGAACGATCAGCGACTTGACAAGAGGCCCTACTCGTATTACTTCATAGGAAAGAAGTTATGGTATATACCACTGTATTTCAGCATCTATCTTATCATATACATAGCAGCGCTCGTATTGAAGAGCATCGCCCGACACAAGATCAATCTTCCGACTCAGCTGGAGGAGATCGCGCATCACCGCAAAAGACGCGAATCTAGCGAAGGATGGTGGTATTTTACTGAAAGAATACTCGAAGGGATTGAACGATTTGCTGAAACATCTGGTAAAATTTCTGAATATTAATTAAACTGTGGTCTGAAGAAAATCCTGAGAAAAAAATTAAATATTTTTTAATAATCATTCACCGCTGGAATATTTGTGTTCAAATACTTTTGAATGCAAACAATATAGACGATATGTAGAGATAAGTTCATGATATTGTTAAGAACGCTTTACCATTGATAAATAAATAATTATTTATAAGATACGCATATATAATTATATTTATTTTATAAACAAAACAGTTGTGTGTAAACAATATATTATATGATAATTATGTAAAAGTTACAAATTATATCATATACAGATTTAAGTAAATTATATCAAAATAATTTTTAGCTACGTTTTTATTTCTGTACTTATTACTATTTCGCCATAATCAATTTTGTTAACTGTTCATGTTAACTATTTACTTACAAATAAATAGAAAATATAAATCCTTGAAAATACTTAACAAATAAACATGCAATATCAATTATGATATTATTGATAAATTTATTCATTATCAGCAAAATATTTCATAAATTCTTAAATTTACATCTCAGATTCTTACGAAGAAAAGTAATAATAATAGACAATTTGAAAACTAGATTTTTGAAATTGTTTTGGCTTTTCAATTTTTAATTTCCTGAATTTTTGAACAGATTGTCAGAACTTTTTATTCTTTAAACTTCTTTAAACGCATATCAGAATTTCCAGTATAAAAATATTACTAAAATAATTAATAAAACATAATATATACAGCTCGAATAAATGATCGTTAATAGGCAGGTTGCAGTTACTCGCCGGTTTAAAATATTATTCCAACGGGATCAGCCTAAAAGCATGCTAATGACTTACTAAGAAATCTGTTCAGTTATAGCAAAAAAATTTGCTTAGCCTGTTTAGTGTTATAAACGATATATAGTGTTGTAAATATAACATACCTGACCTATTCCAAATTTCATTGACATTTTTATAAAGCATACATAATCAGTATCATAAATATTTGATAAGTATCGAACACACATATACATACAAAGATTAAGTTAAGCCATATTATTGTTTAGCATTAAACAGGGAGCTAAGCAGACTTTTTTGCTATAATTGAACAGATCTTTAGTTAAGTTATTAACATGCTTTTAGGCCGATGGCAAATTAATCATTAATTATAATTATTTTAAGAATCGCTAAGCGATAACATCGCACGTCATTGCAACAATCAATAAAATTTACAATCAATAAAATTTAGTAATACCGAACGTTTTGACGGAATCGACGGAAGCGACGATGCGAGAGATCTGTAACAATTAGAATAATTAGCGCTTATGGATTTATGTGTACTTAACGTTACTGTCGATACAGTTACCGTTGCACTTATACCGGATGAAGCTGCTAGTGAAACTAGGTCCAAGAATCGCATTCAGTACATCAGACGACCAAAGGTTTTTCACTTCGAAGCTTTCCTGCCTATGCTACTCCCAAATACCGAACTTCTATCACATACAGAGTGTAGCGTGACAAGTGTAAAGTGACATGGTGTCCGTCATGTGCTTTAAAAGACGAACCGTGCAATATATCTTAAAAATTAACATGGGTTAGTATTACTTTAAATTGAAGAGATACGAATGAATTATGAATGAGAATTGTGTGAATGAAACCAAGTAGTCAAATTTTACTACAAATTTTGTTGGCAAAATGCATGCAGAAATGTAATTGGAATTTGTTAACAAAATGATAGCCAATTGATTGCAGAAACCGAGCGCGGAGTCTGTCATTTCATAATCATTGAAATGACGATAATTTATATTTCACTTGTATGATTACAAAATGATAGATTCTACTGACAATCTGCTGTCAGATTATGTCGATAGACTCTGCGGGCGGAATACGAGTTCAATGTGAATGTAGTTGACGTTAATCTGCCGCAATATCCTACTCGAACTTGCTAGCATAGATGCTAATAAATTGCTGCTGACATTTTACTTATTGGAACTATCGCTGTACTTCCGGCAAGGATTGTGCAATTTTTATTATCAGGATGTCTCTAGATAATAAGTGCCATTTAATAACTATTAAACCGTAGGAGATATAAAAAAAGCGCAAATACACTTTCTTTACTATTTTTAATGTAAAATCTCATGAGGCAAAGAATTTATTTTTTTAATTTTTTAAAGTCATAAAATTATCTTATATTTTTTAAATGGGGTACTACATTTTTGTCCGAATCCAGTATAATGAAAGCATAGAATTTGACCGTATAAAAAAAATTATATACTTTATTTAAAATTACTTTATTTATTACTTTATTTAAAAAGTAACTATACCTATATATTTTCTTTACACAAACTGATTCCTCTGTCTATTCTGTGCAAGTTAAAGTACATTTATCAAAAAATTATTAATTTATGAGATATTTTATATTTTATATCAAGATATGTTAATTTCTACGCCGTATTTGGAACTTTTTAAATTACTTCGAAGTCATTTTAAAGAGACTCTTGAATTCATTTTTATTTGTGTTTTCATGATACTAAAACAAAAATATAATGTTCTATTTAAAAAACACAAGATCATTTAATACAACTTAAAAAAATTCAAAAAACAAAATTTTGTTGCAATATTAGATTCTATATAAAAAATAATAAAAGAAATGTACATTTTTTTCCTACGATTTATCAATTATACAGTTTATTAAACGACTCATTTAGAAACACCATGTATATGAATAATATTCTAATTTCACAGAATCGATAAACAGTTGTTTAGTCTGCAAGTTTGTTCTGTTATCGATTTGTATTTATCACGTATCTGGCGACATGAGTCTAAAAAATGCAGAAGGATTGACTTCGAAAACAGAAACATCTACAGCAATTATTGAATTAGCTACAATTCCGCAATTTATCAGGTAAATACGTAAATTCAATTCTTTGTTAATCTTAATGCTCGTTAGTGTAGATTAACTTTAATCTTGGTTCGACCTACTCTTCATCGTCTTTTAATGCTTAGAACTAGAAAAAGATAAAGAGTTAGTTGAACCAAGATTAAAATTAAACTACATTAGTAGAAACGGATATAAGCAAACTATAATACGCATCGAATAATTAGAACAGAATCTATAATTTAATATGCTCATATTTCTATTATAATTTTATATGCTTATATTAATGTATATGTAACTAATTTATTTTATAAAAGTACTTCCCATCACTTGTAAAACGCTACGAATTAATATATATATATATATATTCTAATTTAGTCATATTTCTAAATTATGCAACACGAATTGTAAAGAATTATATAGAATAGTATTCTGTGAATTTTAATGTGAATTTTGGATCTTAAAAGGATTTTGCTCTGCAATTGCTACTAATGTTAATTTCGATTGCAATATTTTATAAAAGTGCAATTTTGAATGTATACATATAAAAAAAGAAGGAAATTAAATCAATACGAATCTGATTAATTGGCAGGATTAGCAATTTATCACTCATCATTAAGCCACATTTTGTCCATAGGAGCAGACGAAACAGAGCGTATAGATGGGATCACAATACCGAAGGTGACAATGCCGACCATCACGATGATCACGATGAAGACACTTTAAATGACGAAGAGAACGGTCGGACAAAAGCGATAGATCGTCCTAAGACTGATTACTGGGTCGGTTATTATGATTTTTTGATAAACGAAGGAAGCTACAAATTCTGGGCCGTCTTTCAGGTATAATCCTAGGATTCGACCATCTGATTTTTCCCAGAATAATTATATAACTTTGATTTATACGTGTTATTGTATTCTTCAGCTCGCGACCGCAGCTCTTTTGGTCTACAGCGCTTTCGCGGCTCTCTATTATGCCAAAGTGAATCCACAGACCACGGATGATTATTTCGACGATCTACTCCGCCGACGACGACGAAGAAGACGCCGCTCCCTTCCGCTCGTAGCCCAAGATAGACCCTTCGCCGGACTCGACACCGTCACGTTCCAAAGGATAATTGAGGCTGTTGAACGAGCACGTTGATTACCGTTTTGATCATTTCTTTAACAAAGAAAGATCGCATCATACGTGATAAATGGAAAATAAATAACTAAACGATCAAATACACTGAGGAATTTTGATAAGACGAGTCTCTGAAAGTGCGAATCGAGAAAAGACGGTGAGAGATGAAAATGCAATCGACTTCCTATTTCCTGAAAAACAGGTGACTGCTTCTAATTATCACGGAATTAGCGAGCATAATGTATCTTATATTTATAAGAAGTCTTTACGGTTAATTTCGAAAGTATTAAATTATATATTAAATTAACGGTGTATATAGAATAGAATTCAATGTGTGCATGTGTACGTGTATTCGTGTTAATCCGTACTTCGGTACAGACATATTTATATAGAGATATTAAGATTAAAACGCGCGTAAAATGAGAAGAGAATCGGGAAGATTAATAGAACAGAAAATAATGAAAACAAAGGACAAATAGTTTTCGGCAAACGGTCGTTTTGGAAGGTAATCGAATTAAATTAAATCGGCGATAGCTCGAATGTATTACGTTTTCGGACCTGACCGAAGAGATAAGCCGTGGGTCCGAAAACCCTGAGGCCATCCTGGACGCGGTGAATGGCTTGGTGGTTAAATGTATGCGCTATGGGATCAAAACGTAATAAAAATCTGCCGAAAAAATGTCAATCGATAAATCAGGTATGACACGGCGGCGAACCGCAGCACGGATCGTCGTGCAACGCCGATGCCACGCGATGATGTCCCTTCTCCCTATCCCTTAATCTTAGTTAAATATATGTGTATGTGTGTGTGCATATTTATATGAACTTATACGAAAAGAAATTTTTGAAATATCTAAACATTTACTTACAGTAAATAAATATTTACTCAATAAAAAAATGATTGTTAAATCAAATTAATGATTCTTGTACTAAATAATAAATGTAATAATATTTATATTTAGTAAATATTTGCGTACTGCTATTTAAATAAATTTATTAAAATTTAGTATATTTTTTTCAGTGTAGACAGATCTGAAAATAACTATATATTATTAATCATCATGCATGCTTGCGTCCTTATACATTATTTCAATATTGTTCAACATATCTTTAGCTCTATGTATCAGGTTTAATTTTAGATATTTCAACGAAACCGTTCTTTCTATATACAAATTTATATATATATATATATATATATAAAATTTATAGAATAGACATGCTGAATCTTAAAAGCGAATTTT